GACTCCAAGATCCTTTTCCGCCTCTGTGCTGACAAGAGGGGAGTTCCCCAACCTGTAGGTATGGTGCCGGTTGTTCCTCCCCAGGTGCATCACTTTGCACTTGTCCGTGTTGAATCCCATCCTATTCTCGTCCGCCCACTCTTGTAACCTGTCTAGGTCCGATTGTAGCCTGCTGCTTCCTTCTAGTGTGCCCACATCCCCCCACATCTTAGTGTCATCAGCAAATTTGAACAGGGTGCTTTTTACCCCCTCGTCCAAGTCACTGATGAAGATGTTGAACAGTGAGGGCCTGAGGACTGAGCCTCGCGGAACCCTGCTGCCCACGTCCTTCCAGTTTGAGAAGGACCCATCCACTACTACACTCTGGGTGCGGCCCTCCAGCCAGCTGGCGACGCATTTAACTGTGTGGGTATTGACACCACGGTCCCCCAGTTTCCTAATGAGAACGGGGTGAGAGACGGTGTCGAAAGCCTTCCGGAAGTCCAGGAAGACTATGTCCATTGCTACCCCTACATCTAATGATTTAGATCATTTTTCCAAATCGAGGGTTTTCTCCAAATCGATTCGGAAAGATTCAGACAGACACAGCTGTAAATGCTTTTTCTACATACCTCTAGCTAGCAGGCAGCTTGTGAATGCTGCAATGCTGGGGTGCATGCAGCATCCCACAGGAGCACGCAGAGCTCCCGTGTGCTCAGTAGGAGACACAGCAGTGGACCAGAAACACTTCTGGTCTGCTTTCCGGTCTACCATGGAGCATGACCCCCCGCACCCACGTCTCCCCGGCTTGGCAACTGGTGCCACCTGGGTCGGGAGGCCACCTAGGGTCCCCCTGCAGCCAATCGCCAAGCCAGGCAGTGCGGGGGAGCCCCCCAGCATGCTGCCCGGCAGACAGGTTCACTGCCCAGCACGTGGTTGGGCCCCCTACACTCCTGCGGGAGGCTCCATCCCCCCCAGCATTGCAGCATTCACGAGCCGTACTGGTACCTCGAGGCATGTAGAAAAAACATTTAAAACTATGCCTATGTCCGAATTGCTGATTCTCTGAATCAGCATCAAATCTTCAGATCAGGATTTGGCGGAATCAAATCTGGGACAGTGATCCGAATCAAATCACTGTCTCTGATTTGGGCCGAATCCAAATCGAATAGAACCCTCTTCACGCACCCCTACAGCATATTACCAGTAGTTACTACTGTTATTAAAGATGCAAATAATAGTAACAATAATAATATCGCTTTCTTAGAGACCAGAAATCTGTCAGTTAAAAAGAAACGCGACTAATGGCCAGCCATGACAAACAACTGACCTTCAAGCCACATACATACGTATCTACACATGTGTACACAGACATATACCTATACACATCTCTCTACACAGGCATCGAAATGGACACACACACGTACTGGCGCTTACAAGTGTTTCAATACTGAACAGCTATACACGTGAGTGCATCTGCTAGTGCGGAAGTACACACACACGCACGCGCCCCTTTAATATGCCTGCAACAGCAGTTACACACACACGGGTTTAACGCCAGTGGTAATTCCACCCCCTCAGCCCCGCTCTCCAGGCCTGGGGAAGCTCCCGCCACCAGCAGGGACCGAGCATTGTCCACCCCCGCCATCAGCACAGCTTCAGGCCCCAAAGAACGCGGGGATACGACGGGTACACCTGCCCCCCTCCCCGAACAGCTCACCTGCAGCCTCTGAGTCACGCGGTCACTGCTCCCTACTTCCCCAACTTCCGGCGCGCTACGGCGGACTGAGTAGGACAAAACGAATCACGCTCGATTTCCCCCCCCCCCCAACGCACGCGCACAACGCGCAGCTTGGTGCCCTCTGGCCACCCCTTCTGAAGCTAGGGGAGCGGCTTAGGCGCATGAGCGACAGCGCGCTGTGGCCTGCTCTGTGTGTGCTGCTATGGTGGCCGGCGTAGTGACCCGCGCTGCTGTCCCGCGCTTCCTGCGGGCCGGCTCGGGCTGCTGGCGTCGCCACTTGTGGGCGTCGTCCGGGGAGGCGGCAGCAGCGGCCGCCTCGTCCTCCGGGGCAAGGAGCCCCTTCGACCGGCAGCTGAAGCGGAAGCAGAAGAACTGGGCGGCGGCACGGGCCGAGCGCGGGCGGAGCGACTGCGACTACCTGCGGCTCGAGGTGCGGCCGTTGCGCGGGGCTGAGCGGCCGTTGGGGGTTCTGCGCCTCTCCCTCACTCCCCTCCTCCCCGCCAGGAGCCGTTGGGCTGAGGGACGCGCGAGCTCTACACTCCGCCTGTTCCCATCAATCGGGGAAGGGACAGCAGCGCGGGACACCCTGGCAGCCAATCGGCTGTGGGGCCACAGGGGTTCCCTAGGATCCCCAGCGTCCAGTAATCCACTGCTCGAGGGACCCCCAGTATCCCATAATTCCCTGCTCCTTCCCCAAAGAGAATGTGGCCAACTCCCTGCAAGCTGATGTGTGGTCAGAGGGTCAGCCACACTCTCTATGAGTGGGGGATTAGGTGATACTGGAGGTCCTAGGGGACCCCCTCTGGCCCCCCTGTAACCTTATAGGTAGTGCCATAAACTCCTCAGAGTCAGGTAGGGGTTTGTGGGGGAAGCACTGGTTTTTCTTTTGCCCCAACCTGCATGCTCTCTGTCTCCCAGCACAAATGCTGGGGCTTTGCTCCCTGGCAAGCAGCTGAGGCCCCTGCTGCATGTTACACGTATTGCACAGTAAAGTAATGGTTGCGCGATTCCCTGGCGAGTCATGCAATAAATTTAGATCTGCCACAACATAGAAAGCAATTATCACACCATAAAAATGACTCTCCAGCTCTAAAAAAGAGCGCGTCAGCTATGAAGTTAGCGCATGAAAAGATGTAACAACTTCATGGTGTTTCTGTTCAGCTTAATTTGAAGGTGTGGCAGGGTGCTGAGAGAGAGTGTGATCCCTGCTGCAGGGAACTGCTGCCTTGTATACATGCACTGCTCATGTGTTTCTTTGTAATCTACATGGAGTAACAAGTTTTAAGGAATGAACTAAATTCTGGGAGGTTGGTGCTGTAAGGAAAGGTTAAATACCTACTATATAATGCTAGGGCTTTTGTGGTATTCATAAATCAGTGACTGGTCAATCCTCAGTTTTACTAGTAGAAGACCTTGCAGCTGTAGGAATGGCTTTCTAGCTTGACCAGCAGGAATGCCATTATCAAACTGAAAATACATGGACATTCAGTTTCTTTCATGAAATGTACCCAGGATTGCTAGAAAAGAAAAAAGAAAAGGCAAAGCAGAGAAAGCAAGGCACCTGATAAATTTATTTAGCTCTTTGTAACAGGCTCAGGTAAAACCCAATATTTAATTGCATGGTTCTCTTGCCTCAGCTCTTTCCCCTTTCCACTTTGGTTTTTCACTGAAACAGCTTAGCGACTCCAAATATTGTTCCTATGCCATAGCTACATGCACTCCTCACAATGCTGTGGCACAAAACCAAGAGCCAAGCAGCTTTGGTTTTCAGCAGAAAGATGTCAGTAACAGGAACAGATGCAACTGTTAAGACTTTATTGAGCTTTGAAGACCAAAGTGAGCCTTGGTCATTTCTCAAGTGCTGCTGTATAGGTCACTCCTGAAGGGAATGTAGCATTATAGTTTCAGGTGGAGAGCTGCTTATAGTGGTATAAGTGTGTTTGATGGCCACTGCCAATAGTACTGCACAAACAGGGGGCCTAGGTTACTCAAAAAAGAGGGAAATGCATGCCAGGAACAAATAAAGGGTTTTCCTGGTGCAAGGCAAGTTAAGTGTAACTATGAGCCAGGCTGTGCATTTCATTTGTACAGCTAGCCAGTGTAGTGTAGACCAGGCCCAAGAATCTGAATCAATCAACCCTGTACATAGCTACCACTGAGATGAGAACCTCCTGTTCTCAGGAAGAACTCAGGTGGGTAACTTAGATGGTTCATTCTCATTTATAGGTGCTAAATAAACTCCTTTAATTCTTCAGGTTGGTGGCCAAGTAGCAGACCGTGTGTTTGATATAGCCAGGTAAGTTAATCGTATGAAAACTGTATTCTAGAGTTTATGGTTATTCTCTGCTATAAGGACTCAGTTAAAAGCATGAGTTAGACATGTAATACTTACTCCTTCTTTGAGTCACCCAGCTAACTGCATTTTACTGCACATTTCTTCCCTGTTCTGTGGAAAGGCTGCAACTTGGGGAAGGTGGATATACTTCAGTATTCTGGAGAGATAGTGAAACTGGCTATAGATAAAATCCTGTATCATGTATAGTAAGAAATACTTGCTCTCTACAGGTATAAATCAGTGGTGTTAAACTCATCTGGCCCTGTGGGCCAGATAATAGCATGCAATGGGGCCCATGGAGATGATGCCTCTGCCCCCAGCCCCCATGCCAGATCCATCACATGAGGTGCTTGTTTCAGATGAGCTAGGACTGTTTCACATGTCACAGCTGTGCGGAGCTGGTTCTGGATATTTGCCCCACACAGCACCCTCGCCACTTGGTCTGGGCTCTTCATTACATGCCCCTCCTGCCCTGAAGCAGCCTGGTGGGGTGGAGAGAGGGTGCTATGTGCAGTATGTGCCCTGGGCCCTGTGCATGGGGCTGGTGTGGCATGTGCCTCAGACTACGTGTAGGTCCACTCCAGACCCAGGGACAGCACTGTATTGTGTTGTATTTCTGTAGTATTAACTCACTTTGGAAGCTAGTGCTCCCTAGAAGTTTTAGAAGAAAATAAAACGTTTAACATATTTTCTGTAGTGTGTGTGTGTGACTGGATATTTTTATTTCCTACACATGTTTTGGCTAGAGAAGTGTGAAAAGTTTTAAGTGGATTTCTACCTCTTGAAAATTAAAGCAGTCATTGATAATCCTGGAGTTCAGTTGGTCAGATGCCATTAAAGGATATATGAGTCAATGTGTGCTGAAGGAGAGTGACTGAAGAACTTGACATATTTAATATGTTAATTAAAATTTATGTTGAGTAAGAAGAGTTATTGAACATTAAGGATTTTTTTTTTAATAAAGCAGTTCAAATTTAATTTGGATATTAATTCTTTCAGAGCATTCCCACTTGCTTTGGATGTTGGCTGTGGAAAAGGCTACATAGCCCAGTATTTAAACAAGGTACTATGCATTGGTAACATCTAAAATATAGTGCAACTTGTACCCTTATACAGTTGTTAATATCTAAAATATATTTAAATGAGATAAGTCTCTTATCTATGGCTTAGATTGTTTTGTTCAAAATGACTAGCCTTGAAGGCTCAGGCTCCACGTGTGAAGAGATAAGCAGATACGGCTCAGGCTTTCCCTCTTTGGTGGCTCCCCAATGCTGTCTGATATTGGTTTTTATAAACCAACCTAAATATTTGATCAGTTCTTTTTTTTATTTTAGGAAACAGTTGAAAAACTTGTGCAAGTAGATATTGCAGAGAATGCATTGGTAAGTTGTCATCTGACCTTTTTGCTTGTCATGCTGTAATGCCCCAATGCTGTGGAGCAAAAGAAATGTCTGAAATTTTGTGTTCATTCTAACCTGATTTAGAAAACTCCTATGGAATCTGAAATCCCCACTGTCAGTATTGTAGCTGATGAAGAATTCCTGCCATTCAGAGAAGACACATTTGAACTTGTTGTTAGCAGTTTAAGGTTTGTATAAATCGCACAACTAAGTTTATTTTAAAAAAATCAGATTAGGCAGATAGCATTCTTCCCAAACTAATAGGCAAATGGCTTCATATAGGCAAAGGCTTTTTCCTCAGTATTGCTTATTATTATTATTATTATTCAGTAAATCATTATATAATTAAAGTATTTCGCTGTTAGTTTTTGTGGAATGTGACAATTAACTTTTTCTTAAAGATAAATATAGATGCGCAAGTAGTTTCCTGCCTTTTGAGTAGTATCCCAGCAGTCCATTTTCTAGCTGTAAAAAATGAAAAAAGGAAAATTAAAAAACCTTCTACAGTTTTGTATATAAACAAAATTTTCATAACTTTTAACTTGTTTTGGGGGGAAAGTTGATAGTTATTTCCTTTGTCCTCTGAAATATCTGTTATGGCAGTAGTCTCTTGCCTTTCCCAAATTTTATTTACTGCTAATAAATACTAATAGTACTAAGTCCTAATAAAATTGACACACTTTATTTCAGCTTGCATTGGGTGAATGACCTGCCTAGAGCTTTTAGAGAGGTAAGAAATTGTTCATGATGCATATAATCAGGACTCTACCTTGGTTTCAGTATATGATTTTGTATATGGGAGTTGTGTGCATAGATAAGTTATGTTGAAATGACTCTGGTCGTATCCTGGACGTCTAAGCAACAAACTGAGAGAAATGGATACACACATGGCTCTCTTTTCTGTTCCTGAGTCTAAGTGCAACACTCATGGGTTTTGACTAACTTAATTTCTGCACATCCAAGGTGTCTGCAGGGAGCACGTGTATATATTCTGACTGCTACTGTATGTGCTCAGTCTCCACAACTATGTAGTCGCACAGGTGAATATAGGGCTACGTGCCCAGGTATAGAATGCCAACCTGTGCGTAAGTGACTCTTTTGGGCTTTGATAAGCAGAAAAGAATAGAATGCCATGAAGTCAAGTTTGTTTCAACAATTTCCCGCAAGACAAAATATTTTAGAGGCTCAGGTTGGAGTATTTCATGAACAGTTTTTAATATCTACTTTTCTGTTTTGCTGTGCAATATTAATGTTTTTCTAGAGCTACCCTATCATGATGTTAACATAAATAATAAAATGGAAAACTGCACAATTTTCCACAATGAAAATCTTAAGAATCCAGTTTTGAAAGGAACTTTGAAATGATATGTTTGTTTTCAAAATTTATTTTTACCAAATGAAATGTCACAGTTTAACATAAAACAAAAATTTCAGATGTTGATCAACTGTAATCTTGATTTTACTAACTCCGTGCTTTGGGACCAACAGCCTTAAGTTAGTGCAGCTAACCATATGCTGATACTTGTCACATTTGTCTGCTGATTACTTGATCAAAAATCTTAACATTTTCATGGAATGTGGGGTTTAATAACCTGATCAAATACTCTTTCCACTTCCCTTACATGTAACTTGGATCACTTGTACATTTTATTTAAACTCTTATTTATGTTACATTCAAATTGAAGAAATGTATTTTAACTTAGTTATATAAACAAGAGGCTCCCAAACATACATTTATGCTTATAGCATTACATGGTTATAGCGTGATATAATATATTTGAGAGCCTTTTTACCTATGGGGCTTAAGTTGGAATTTAGTGACTAAACTTAGTGCAGAGTCAACTTATCAGGTAGTAGCGTGGCTCTTACCTTTTTAAAGAAGGCCAACTTTGCTGTCCTGACTTTTTAAAATTCAAAACATTCTTAATATGTCTCTGGTGCTTTCATCTGTAAAGTATGGTAAAAATACAAGCAATCATCCTGCTATAACTTATAATTAGACGCAGATAGCTCAGGATGTAATCAGGGTTTTCTGTTCACATAAAATATTGAGTCTTATGTTTGTTTGGCCCTGCATTGACTTTTTATCTGATTTCTAGCTATACGTAATATGTTCCTTGGGAGTCACAAATCTAAAGAGGAGGCCTTGTCAGTAATAGTGGACCCAAAAGCCTTAGTAGATGCTACACACATAAATGCAGCCTATTTTCCCCTCAGAAGGCCAGATGTATTAGAGTCTAGCATGCATGCACTATCATGTTTCAAAAAACAAAATACAGTATCATTACCTGAAAATGGACAGTTACACTTACTTTTTTTGCCTTTTGAACTTGCCTTTTAAATCTTTTGGGGTTGTATTACCACCTGAAACATTGTTTGGTATTTTCTAAACTTCATCTTATTTTATTCTGCTGTTTTGAGCACTTTGGAAACAAATTGTGTTGAATCATTAACAATGTGTAGCATATCCTGGAGAAATGTGATTCTGGGTATTACTGATCAGTGGTGAGTTCAAATGGCTAAATGTAGATTACATTATCCTCTTTATTTACTTAGTTTTTAGTAAGCCGGTTAATACATTTCTTGTATAAAATAAAGATCTAAAACTAGAATGCTAAATGGAAACATAATATCTATCTTTTAAAGCTCTTTGGCTTTTGCCTACTTCCTCACTAGTCAGATTAGGATTAAATGAGATGCTTGATTTAATTGAATCACTCTTTTCTAACTAGAAAAAATGTTTTAAGAATTCACTGCCAAATATTTTTAAAATTTAGACCTTGAATACTAAGCAGGCCTTGTGTATTACAGATTCATCAAGTCCTTAAACCAGATGGAGTATTTATTGGTGCCATGTTTGGAGGAGACACTCTGTATGAGCTTCGTTGCTCTCTGCAACTAGCAGAACTAGAAAGAGAGGGAGGATTTTCTCCACATGTGTCTCCCTTCACTGCTGTCTCTGACTTAGGACATCTGCTTGGAAGAGCTGGCTTTAACACTCTGACTGTGGTAATTTATCTCCATGAGGAATGTAGCAATTGTGAAAATCAAAGTTGCTCTTTAAAAACAAACAAGTTTTGTTATATAGTAGGAAACTAATAGAGCATATAGGCTGGGCATGGCATACCTTCATGGTGCAGATAGTTTGACTTTTAGCAAAGATATGTTTTCTTTGTTGGAACCAATTTGAAAAAATACTGGTTTATTAAATCTTCTCATTTCATATCAATGGTTTAAGAAATTGTTGTGGAGAAGATGCTATTGGTTCTGATTTGAGGATGAGCGATCAGCTTTTACTCATGTGGAAGTCTAGCTTGACTAAACTGGAGAGATATCAAAGCTAGGGAACAGAAATGGAAGGGGAGGGATTACAAGCTCCACAGGCCAAAGAGGTGCAAAGACTGGCAGTAATATGCGTCAAAGAATGACATAAATACCAAGCTGATGCCACAGTGGCAAGTGCAAGCTAAAAGTGTACATAAAACATGTAAACATCATATATTTGTGTTGGTCACCTTGAAATTAAGTCTCCAAAGTGCCTTCACACTCTTTAGCAACTTTTCAGTGTAAACATATGCATTAAATGTTCTGATATGATTTTCCTATAAGCTGTCCCACATTCATGCCCCAAATGTATTTAAAAAAAACCCACAAAAAAAACCCTAATCCAAAAAAAAAATCTATTTCCATAGTACCTAGGTAGATTGTTACCTTTGTTACTTGTTCATGTCAGGACTGTTAAACTGTAATGTTAGAAGTATGGGATACAAATGTACTTAGTTTGAAATGTGGGTACAGTAGATACTGGAATAGTCTATACATGTATTTGCATAGATATTTAAAATCTGATGCATGAAAATAGATGCGCAGGATGTGGAGGTGGTTTTAGATTGCTAGTTAAAATGTGTCAGTGCTGAACTGTCTGCCTATTCATTCCTTTCTAGATGCGAATCAGTTAGTTGGTTCTCTAAAGTCCTGTCAACATGACAGTTTGAGACTGATGGAGGAAGCTAAGTGGGTTAAATTCTAGCTAGTAGTTCCAGTGAGGAGCACTTTGCAGGGCTCAATGTGGGCAGGTTTTACTGTAAGTAATGCCTGTAAATAGTTCTCTAAGTAGAACATCTAGGCCGCATCCAGATGAGTGCAGCCATGCAGTATGGGGCGCCGCAGACATGTCTGGCGCCCCATACCACGTGTTCAGATGTTCTCCATGCTGTAGTCAAGCAGTGCAGAGGGTTTTTTTGACCTCTGGACCCAATGGGGAAAAAAGTGGTGTAGTACATGCACATGCAGTGCATGTCACTCAAAAGTGGAGCTGGGCCAGCCGGAGCCACACTGCAGCAGCCAGCCAGGTTCTGTGCAGCAGAATTGCCGCTTCTACAGCCCTAGGAGGCCCCCAGAACCCCAGGTAAGGCTGCTGGGGCCAGCCCAGTGCTGGTCCCAGCCTCCCTTATTGCCCCTGGGGTAATTTGCTGCACACCAAAGTGCGCATAGCACAAGCATTCCCTGGAGACTAGCTGCAAGGTGCACCACTGCTAGTTCTCCCTGGGGAACCAAACATCCACATGTGTAGACGCAGCCCTACGTGGCCTTTTCATCCTGGGGCAGACGGCAGTCTGGGCCTGGCAGCAGGGCCCAGAGACTGCCTGCCTGATTGGTTCCCCATGATTTAAAGTTTCATTGTATTAGGTGAGTGTTGACCACAGGTTAAGACTATAATTTTGTAACTGTTTGTTACAAGTGTGGCTGACTAAAACTGAGGAGAATGAATGAAGCTCTGAGGGGGTTGACAGAAAGAGAAGGTCCCAGGGTGGACAGAGTAAAGTCTGAGTGAGAACAAAGGGAACTGGAATGGTACAATAAGGACTCTGTTTTGAAGCAGCATGTACTGTGCTGCTTGGGGACATCAGCAGTCGGATAACCCTCTTCTTTTAAAAAAAGAAAACATCCTCCTCCCTTCCCTGGAGCTCCCGGTGGTGGGGGTGTTACAGATCACTGGAGAAGCCAGGGACTAAAAAGAGCTAGGGTCTCAAAGCCAGAGGCTTGCCCCTTGTGAAGCCACACTAGGACTGGCTTTCAGGAGAGGGAAACCAAATAAAGCTGCTTCTTGGGAATCCTGAGAAAGATCTTTCCCCTTCCTTTCTGAAAGGGGCAGGTTGATCTTTTCTTGACAGAGAGGACTACATCTAATCTCAGCATAGTTGTAGTTAATGAGATTAAATGAAGCTAATTTACCCTGAAGGTCCAATAGATCACTGTTTGGTTTGCTTAACCCACAGAGCACTTATGTGAGGATTTAACCATTAGCAAAAATTTGAGGGATTAACTCTAGCCCTTAATTGCTGTGTGTCTCCTCCCCACTTTGATTTGGGTGATGATGGTACTTTATACTGAACAGAATGGTTGCCCGTGTTAAAAAATCTGTTTTCATTGGGAAATTAACATATAATACATATAGGCTTTCTTAAAGCATGGTTATGTTGCATGAAACACAAACTTTTATTTTACTCATTTTCTGTTTTTATTGATAACTTGCCTATTGCCCATCAAGAATGATGGGGTAGGGGTCTGGGATAGGGTGCCATCACATGACTCCATGCTGCTGCTGGTCTGCTTCTTGCAGGGAGCGCTGCTGGTCCCCGCTCCCCCACCCTCTCTCCGGTTCTTGATGGGGCTTGCAGGGAGCAGCGCTGGCCTCGGCTCCCCCACCCTTTGTGCGGTCTTCGGCACAGCTTTGGAATCATAGGAGCGCTATCCCACGCTCAGAGCACTCCGATTGGCTGTTTCCGTCAGTCAATCAGAGTGCAAATAAAGCATTACGGACAGACAGGCTTAGGCTTTTATAATATTAGAATTGTTTAGAAAACTTTATTTTAATGTAGATACGCTTCAAAAACTAAGCTTTTGAACTTTTTTAGGATACTGATGAAATTCAAGTAAATTATCCAGGGATGTTTGAGCTCATGGAAGACTTGCAAGGCAAGTATTTCTTTTCCTCCAAGAAAACCTAGGGTGTTTCTCAGTCTTGATTTCTCAGCAATGCAGTATAATGAGGTATGCTTGGCAGAGCATAGGTGGTTTTCCTTAAGTGCAGACAAGGTTTTCTGTAAAAGTTCTGCTATCATGGGAGAGTTCTGAAATATTTTTCTAGGAGAAATTACTCATTCTGGTCTCGAAACACCTAAGTTTTTACATTCGATGAATACATATTCAATTAAACCACCATTGTACAATTATATCTGTTTTCCCCACAGAGATTTCACTTGGCTGCTTCCCCTCTCTGGTTTCTGTGTTTGTTTCCCCTGAGGAAGCATTACCTTTTTTCAGAGCTCTGCAGGGCCAGGGGATTACCTTCTCCCTGTGGAGTCTGTGCTGGGAAGCAAAAGCCAAAATCCTGTTATCTCAGCATGCTATGAAATTTCCCTTCTCTTTAATGCTCTTCCTGCAGGCAGCTGGGTCAGCTTTCTCTCTCTCTGCTGAGTTGCCCCTAGCACCTGTGTATGGGCAGTGTAATGTACACATATGCATGAGGGCAAAGCAGACAGATTTCACATGTCCTCTCCTAAGAGACTGCCTCAGCCAGGAGATTCCAGGAGCTGGAACCTTCCTAGGGAAGCCAGGAGAGTTCATTTTGAGAGCCTAACTACTATTAAGCACAGATCTGTCGTTTCATCAGGTACACTAATTATGATTCATATGCAGTCTTGTAGATGCCTTTGTTTTTGGAGAAGTACAGAGCATGCTTTTGCTGCTGATCAACAGCTTCTGTCTGTTTTCATTGAAATGATTTCTCCCAGAATCCTTGGCAGCTGCAGAAGGGCACCCTTTATAATGATTGAGCATTGCACAAGCTTTTATGTAAAACATTTTTTATCTTCCATTGGTAAAAACCCATTCCTAATTAACTTAGTTTTTAATGTGGTAATTATTCAGGAATATCAGCATTGCTTCAGTGTAGTCACTTCATGCTTCTGATATTTTTATCATAAATTTAATAGAAGGAAGGACTTTGGGATCAGTATTCCACATGGAGAGTAAATTAATTTAGCAAACTACCAAATTTACTTGTGTAAAGCCTTAGGACCATTACTTGTCTGAGTATAATTTCCACCAAGAAGTTAAAGTGAAATAGCTTACAACAGTATAAAGGCATACCCTGCAGGGTAGAAAGTAGGTGTTTCCCTGAATCAAATCTCTGTATGCCGTAACTTTCTCTCGTGAGATCTGAGGAATTTTGTATCTGTTTTGGATTAATATAAAGTTGTGTGGTTAATGCACTGAAATTTAAAACTCATGGTATATGCTATATCTTCTTTTTTTTAAAGCTGAAACCTATTTTTAGGTATGGGGGAGAGTAACTGCTCTTGGAATAGAAAACCTCTGCTGCACAGAGAAACTATGTTGGCGGCGGCAGCAATATATCAAGGTAAAAACAAACGTTCAGTAGTTAACTTAGTCTGGATGGGTCTATGAACATCTCTTTCCATGTTTTTTGATCTTTCTCAGGGATGCATTGTTTTACTATTTTTCTTGAACATGAGTAAAACAAATTGTTTTTAAGGGCTTACAGTTACAAGACTTGAATTCCATGGACGTTTTGCATGGTTTGGAATACTGTCTTTTGTTTTCTCTACTTTTGTACAATTAAAACATAAAAGATTTTCTGTATTGTGAAATTCTGTAAGAGTTGTTTCCAGCAAGAAACATTACGTTGAACATTTCATATTCAGTTCTTGCATAATTTGTAATACTTTCTCTTTTTGAATAGAAATGTATGGAAATAGTGATGGCTCTGTACCTGCCACATTTCAGGTCTATTACATGATAGGCTGGAAATTCCATGAATCACAGGTAACATGAAACTTTTATGCTGTGACCCCCTTCCCCTCTTATTTCTTATGTGTCATTTGATAGCACCTTCTGGTTTTAAACAACTGAGTGACTCTCTGAATTGTTTTGAACTTAAGTCTTTACCCCAGTTTCTTTTCTTTCAGGCAAGGCCAGCCCAGAGAGGTTCTGCAACAGTGTCACTTGGAGATCTGGCAAAAATAAATTTTTCAGGGGGGAAGAATTAGCTGATCATCAAAAGGTGACTTGTGTTGGACCTTTTACAAAATATTGCATTGTAATAGACTCTATAGTTGTCAGTGTCTACTGTTACTCTGTTTTGAAGAGGTCATAAATTAACTACACTCAAGGCACTCAACATTTTTAATTCCTATGCTGCATCTTCATCCAGATAACATCATGTTTATTAAAGTTTCTGTCAAAAATTTTATCAATACATTAACTGAAAGGAGACTCTCTGCTTTTTTGTAGACATTAATTATAAAACTTTCTCTACATTTTAAGCATTTAGGATTGTCCCAAAGAAAATAACATTTTGTAAGCACTTGTACATGCTCAAGGTACACAAAGAGATGTATATGGTTGTTAACAAGTCTTTCAGTTGCAAAAATAAGGAGAGAAAAAGTCATCAAAAAGATTCTACTTCAAGTAGAATTAGTTTGGATCTAATTTCGTGTGCATCTCATTCTGCAGGTAGAAGCATTTCCAGCAATTGCTGAAAGTCTCATGTATGACCTGTATCTGAAAGGAAGTGAAGAAGAGAATGTAACTCCTGAAAAGAAGGTGCCTGCCTGAGAGATCCTGCTTAAAATTCTCTACAATTAAACGCTATTTATTTAAGGTTCTGTTTGTTTTCTGGTGTCACTGGTCTCAGGAACAAATGGGAGCAGGCTGCACCACTGCATAAAAGTACTAGTCAAGTGAAATTGCCAGTCTAATATTTCATGTGATGATTTGAGCAGAGTTGGATCTGAGAAGCATGGCGGTGCTATCAACCTGCACCTCTATTCGTGTTCCAACATGCGAAAAACAAATTCTTAACAAAAAGGTCAGGATAAGATGCAGTCTTAACCCAAATGCTGCTCGAGGACAGGGAAAACATCAAGATATGAGAGCCTCTCTTCCCAGATGACTTCAACCTGGAGACTTGTGTAAGATTTTGGTTGAAGTAAGCATGGAGGAAACGATGTGTTAAAGACAGCAAAAGGATACCAGTCCAAAGGTGACCCACATCATGTCCCTATAACAGTTGAAAGGGGTCTCAAACGCACTAAATTAGTCCTTCATGGGAACTAATGATATTCATATTCCAATGTGCATCTCAAATTGAAGGCTCAAAATGAAAGATTAATTTTGTCTCTCTTTAAATGTCTGTTGTGGTCAGAAATTTTGCCTTTTAGTGGTGTAGTATTGCTGACATCAGGAAAGGGGGATGCCTCAGTTCAGTTAACAGGATTTTCCTTGGTAGCTTCATGTGTCCTGTCTATGGCAATTAGTTGTCATCCTGTCTTCCCCCCCCCTCCTCCCCCTCTCCCAGTTCACTTTAAAAAGAATGGCAGGTGGGAGACAGTTGACTATGAGGCAGCTTCCTTGGTTTGGATTTGTCAAGGTTATAGATTCTACATTAAGCAGGAAGTGTTTGCAGGTTAGTATTTCTTTATCACTCTGTCAGTTTCTCCATATGGTCCCATAGCTCTTGGCCATAATTCTGAGTCATATTCCTGCATTGTATTGGACAACAACTCGTCATTTCTGAAGTTTTGCAAAGGTGGTAGATACTTGTCCAAAAGTATAAATGTCATTTTAGATTACTAAATAGCCATAGACTGGCTTTTTTTTTCTTATTTCCAAACAGCTGAATAACATGAACTTGACCTTTTTCTGCTTCATAAACCCTTTTGATTTAGCCTTGCCACCATGCTAAGTTAGGTATTGTTATGTTTGGTCAGTTATGGCAAGAAACATTAACAAACTGTCGTAACTTTCTGCCTTCCTGGCTCTGAAAGGAAGGGTGAAATATTGCAACAATGGTCCCAACACTGCATTGCAGATCTGGGATAGTACAAGTGAAGAACATAAGCAGTCATCCAAAATAGAACATATGCACATTAGGACTAGCCTGGCATCAAGCTCTTACATATTGGCATTCTGTGCCTTAAATTGCATTGTCATAGTCCGATATTGTCGTGCCAGCAATGTCTTCAGTGAAAATTCAAGGAACCTGTTGTAATAAGATAAGCCAGTAGGGGGCATTCGACAGAATAGTATTGCACACTCCAAACTAGCAGACATGTCTATTCTATGTATAAAAGACTATTTAAGTAGAATGGTTTTAAATTCTGTGTAGTCATTTTCAAGTCAGCCTCTAGCCATTAATGACTCTTGACATTGTAAAAACAGTGGAAACTGACCTCCCTGGCAAAATAAATAATTGCATGTCAGGCTTGAATAGAGCTACAGCCAGAAATAAACTTTTCCACTAAAAGGACTCTATTTGACAGGTTCTGTTTCCAATAGGGTTTGGGGGAGGGGGTGGAAGAAGGGGGTTTCTGTTCCTGCAGCCATCCTGGGAATTTTACCTAAGAGTAGGGAATTTTACCTAACTCTGATCATAGCGAATTTGGCTCCTGCAGATCTGAATATAGATGCTGAAGTACCTGTCTGTATTAACTAAAGGAAGGTTGGATATTTCATTACATTATTCTAACTTCAAGGGGATCAGTGCTGTTTATTGTCAGTTCTGCTTCTGAAATTACATTGACTGCTGTGACCAAAAATATTATGAATGAGAACATACTTCTTTAGGAGCTAAGCAACTTATCTTAGGCAGCCCCTTAAATACTCCATACCTTGAAGTACCAAAGTACCATCTTTTTTTAGCAAAATCCATTGGTAAAGCCTTTTCTGTCAACAGTATTGTATCAGCTGTGTGAGCACACAGTTCAGTGCTTAAAATGGCTATATGCTAAGTACATGATTAAGCACTCCCTAGTGTGGGTCACACTTTTTTTTCCTTAGATGTCTCTATATTCAGAATGACACAATTCCCTCCAGGCTCAAAGCCACTGTCATCTTTCCTGAAGATGTTTTTATGAATTTATTTTCATGCTGTTGCATCTACCATGTGCCTTCTCTAAACTTTTGAGTTTTTTCCCAGGCACTTCTGCTGCTGGCTGTGACTCAGATGTGTGAAGAGAGTGAGGAGAAGGAAGAAGAATGTGGTTATGTGTAAATGTTAATTAGAGACTTGTTCCTACTGTGCCTTGTTCTTCAAGCATTTAATCAACACATGGGTAGAAGCAAACTGAAATATGCTGGAACCCCTCTCCTAACTTCTAAGGAGATAAAGAATGTGCTCTCAGTAATGAGAGGAAAGCATACATCATTGGGTACAAAGCACCCGAAGAGCAGTTTCCTTTCTGAGCATATAGAAGAGGAGCATCGGGAATTGCACAACAGGGGAAGAATAAATGAGGTACTGCGCAGAGCACTGCTAGTGGGAAGAACAAAGTAATTAGGCAGGAAATTTGGTGTCCCTATCCTCCCTACCCCTTCCCTTCATGAATGTGAAAATTAAATACTGACCTAATTAATGTGCAGTTCACAATACAGCATCTGTGGTCACAGTTATTCAATAACCCCCCGGATGAGGAGGGTGCTGCTGCCCAGCTGTTACATAGTGTTGTGGCAGTGTCTTCATGCAAGAATGCATAAATCGCTTGCTCTGCTGGCCTAGCAGCTTCTACATTCCTGGCCACCCGGTGGCCCATCTTTCACAGGATCAGGATGGAGTGACCCTACTGTTCTAGTGCTTGAGGCTGAGGGTAGGTGGCTGGGAAGTAGTAAATGAGGGTTTGAATCTCGAGGCTGAAAAGGACCTAGAACCTAGATCTCCCAGTTCCTGGAGAGGTGCCTTACTTCCTTTAGGTGGATAGCTCTGTGCCATTTGTCTTCTGCCACACTCGGTTATGGATCTAGCCTCAGAAGACTAGTTCTTGCCCTGCTCAAGCTCTGGTTCTTGGACAGACAGAGGAGCCTAAGATATAGAAATGGAAAGAAGTGCTAGCTCTTTGCAGCTCCTGCTTAGCTTGTGGGTTTCTGTCTCTTCCGTGGTTCACTTGGTTCACTTCCTGGAGCTAGGTAGCTAAATTTTAAGTATAGCCAAGCCAAAGTTGGAGGCATGTAGCATGCTTTTCTGGATCTCAACCTAAATTTAGACAGCACTGATAATAATGAAGTACCAAATAAGTGTAAATACTGCACAAATATATTTTGATACTCGGGGGTTTGAGTTCTGTTGCTGTTCTAAAGCCTGGTTTGTCTTCAAAGTTTAACTTTTATTTTACCTTCCTGATACTTCTGTATCTTTGGTTTGAGAGTATTTTTTACTTTGTATTTTAATTTTAATTTTTTATAGTACTGCTGTGTGGCCTGTTAGATAATAAACATGAACACAGTTCCTGTCCTTTGCACATTCTGTAGTTAAACCTCCATTACCTTTTCAATATGAACTCACATTTTTAGGATTTAAATCTTTTTATTGTAGCTTTCTCAAGCTGCCAAAATTTAGTGTGCATTTTTCCAGGCTTGATATAATTAAGTGATTTCTGTGTTCTTTTAATTTGCTAGTTCAAGAAAAAAAATCAGGTAATAAAGTGATGACAAGGTGCCTTTTGTTGGGAAGACTAGATATTTTAAAGAACAAGCTTCCAAACATGACCGAGTTAGTACACAAGATAAAGCAAAATGCCTTCTGGGAGATGATTATTTCTGATTTTGTCAAAAAATGCACCAAAAATTTGAATGCCAGGTGTAATAAGAATGTCTTAAAAAGGCAATATCTACAAACTGAATTAACATTCGGTCATTTTCAGCACAAAGAAACTTGAGCTAGGCAACCAGGATCAATAAACATGATTGGTGAGTGCCTTGAATTCCAGCTGCACACCCAGTCAGGGGAAAGATTGAGCATTACTTTGTTGATTAAGTATCTGACCTTGAATTCATATGCATCCAAAAGTCAACAGGAGTTTGTGCAGTAGAAGAAATAGTAGGCCAGGCCCTTGGGGAAATCTTTAACTTAACAGAGCTTTTTCAGATGCAGAACATATATAAACTAAATCTAGTTGCATAAGGCCCTCATAGTCCACTTAAATGTGAGCTCAAAATACATAAAACTTACCTGTATAATTGGCCAAAATAAAGAAAAAAATATTTTTATACAGTGAATTACAAATTGTATTTCAATGTTTTTGTAGACAGACTTTTTTGGCATTGTCTGTCTGATTCAAAGTTCTTTACATACTGAAGACCCCTGGAGTATTTTGTGGAGAAACAACTCAGTGGACACACACAAATATAAAATTAACTTGTTTCATGCTTGATATCCATGCAAATAAGATTAGAGAACATGGTTTAAGATAGGAATGTGTTCCCTAACAGATTCTGATTTTTAAAACATTGATGTTCAAACTAGACTCTTCTCTGTCTACTTTCATTCCATTACCCCTAGTGTTAACCTTCATAATTTCCGGTGCTTCCTGACAGATTTTTCACCTGACTAGTGATTTTGGTTGCCTCCGATTGATAGCTTTAAAAGGTGACTGATCTTTCTTCATAGAACAGGGATTTGCACTTCTGAAATTGAGGCCACCGAAGATGTATTTGAGAGTTTGGCATACAAAATTGCTTTTTCCCTGTTTATGACAATTGGCTGTGCTGTAACATATGTATTTTTTTCAATTATCCTTCAGTAGATAAATAAGTCACTTTTTTTCCTGAATTCTTTCCAGTTTCATTTTTCTGTGCAGAAAGAGTTCACTGTTGTCTTGTAAAAGGTTTGCTTTCTTTCTGCTCAGTTAAATAAGACTTGTACACAAAATCAAAGATTACACTGACTACTGCATGCTTCAATGAAATTTCAGGTCTAAATTAAAAAAAACAGTTTACTCAGGATGTTGCTTTGCAAAAACGAAGTATGTTGAAGTGCTGATTGGGAATGTTGGGAATATCTCATTCTGCTGAGTGGGTATATGCATCACTAGTTTAAAAAGTGAAGAATGTTAAACTGCCTTTTCTCTTACCTGTATATCTAAGCTTTGTTTTTCTAAGATGCTCCTCAGGTTGTGGTCCCTTCCATGATCACAATTACTGAAGTAGTTTCAGTGAAGCCAATCACAGATGTGGGGGGATGTGGGCACAATAGAGGGGAGCAACAGGCTACAGTTGGACCTAGATAGGTTACAAGGATGGGCGGAGGAGAGCAGGATGGGGTTTAACACAGACAAGTGTAAGGTGATGCACCTGGGGA